TTTGCTTTTATTCCAAGTGGCTATGTATCAAATTTCATTTGAATGCTTCCATAAATAAGAAAGTTGGCACTGCGCATGCGCAAAACCAGATGTTGAAACTGGCGTTATATTTGCTTTTTCGTATTTCCGAGACTAAAGTGACAACTTCACTCCATTATGACAAGTACTGAAGTGTCACTTTTTGTCCCGCCGGGATTAAATTTTACGAAAATCCCGGAAGGATGAAATTACTAACAAAGCAATTTCAGTAGGTTTTTCCACATTTTGTATGCGGCACTACTTCTTAAACGCATCGTACTGCTGTTCATATAGTTTTTGGATTTCGGTGGTATCAATTCTTTACCTACTTTGGTTGCTTTTTATCAATATCAAATACACCTTTGTCACCTACCACCAAAATTATGACACTAGCAATGACAGTTCCTATGGTAACTTGTTGAGCAGCGATTTTTTGAAAGAACGCGTTCTCTAACTCCATACATATTAAGTGTGTCAGTTCGGAAGTACGAAAAATATCGTATATACCTTGCGACTGAAGTAGTGGTCTTAATCCCTCAGGTAAAAACTTTACCTTCGGGATTAAAAGTACTACTTCAGTCCCGCGGTATATAATATACTATTATTCCAAGTGGTATTATGTATCAAATTTCATTAAATCCCTTCATAAATAAGAAAATTAGCACTGCGCAGGCTCAAACGAAATTTTGAAACTGACGTTAAATGTGGATTTATTCCAAGTGGCTATGTATCAAATTTTATTTAAGTGCCTCCATAAATAAGAAAGTTAGCACTGCGCACGCGCAAAACCATATTTTGAAGCTGATGGGGTTAAATTTGCTTGTATTCCAAGTAGTTATGTATCAAGTTTCATTTAAATCCCTCCATAAATAAGAAAGTCGGCACTGCGCATGCGCAAAACCATATTTTGAAACTGGCGTTAAATTTGCTTGTATTCCAAGTAGCTACTGGAAATTTATTTAAAACTTTGGTTGTTATTTGTATCAAATTTCATTTAAACCCCTCCATAAATAAGAAAGTTGGCACTGCGCATGCGCAAAACCATATTTTGAAACTGGCGTTAAATTTGCTTGTATTCCAAGTAGCTATGTATCAAATTTCATTTAAACCCCTCCATAAATAAGTAAGTTGGCACTGCGCATGCGCAAAATCAGATTTTGAAACTAGCGTTATACAGAGTGAGCAACAAAGATTGAAGCGTGCCGCTTCAGCTAAATTGGCAATGTGCCGCTCATAGCATATGCTGATTTGATACAAGATACGAATAGACGCACGTCACTGTGACAGCGCAGAACGTCATTTTCGTATACAACTCCATACAAAGAAGGTAGTTTTGATATTAATAGGAACAAGCGGTGATGACGCACGCTTCAATCATTGTTGCTCACTCTGTATTTGCTTTTATTCCAAGTAGCTATGTATCAAATTTCATTTAAATACTGTCATAAATAAAAAAGTTTGCAATTCGGTTTATATATGGTCGAGATGCGAAAACACTCTGACTGTTGATCGATTAGGCTCAATTTTTGGAATTGCGTTTTATATGGCTAAAGCTATACGCATATTGAATTTCATGCAATTCGGTTCATAACTAACGGAGATGTTAAAAGGGCCTTCCTTATTTTTTGGGCTACATTGCCAATTCACGAACTCCGAAATACAAATTTGATAAAAAATCCACCTGCAAAATTTCATCGTAATCGGTCCATTCGTTTATGAGTTATCGTGCTAACAGACACCGCAAAATTATAACCTCGCTAGGAGCTCGTTAATAAATACCTATCTTTTGTTAAAGTAAATCTTAAATTCAAGTGAAACGGTTTTCGCGCGCGCGTATGGGAAGCAGAGTACGGGTGGTGATAGAGAGACGACGAACGGAACGTGCCGCGTGCGTGTGTTTTACCGGAGAAATGACCATAAACATTTTATACAGACATTAAGTTTTATATTATTCATTTTACATGCACTTAGTGTTATCATTGTTAATAGTGTTAAGGGATGGCCATCCACATTGGTAAGTTTTTATTAGCAATTACATTCTTTTTCAACGTGTCGTTCACATTGCAATTTATTCCTACGCCGCCCAAGTGTCATACGTCGAGTCATTCGCAATATCTTTCGGTCCTCGGTTTTCGTTTGCTATTGGCCGAACTCACTTAGGTGCACCTCCCTCTAGTTTACAAGTCACAGGAATAGACACACCCAATATCGTCAAAATCCATACAGTTTTTACAATATTTTGGA